CCGGACAGCGCTGGCTCTTCGGCTTTGAAACAGAGATGAGCACTGCCCCCTAGAGTCGGGAACGACTAGCCTATACGTGCGAGGGGAACCTTTATCTTTAAACACCGAAGTTTAACACCAAGTAATTTGCTGAATAACGTTTGATGCCAAATTCTAAAATTAAACCCAATACTAATTCCTCAAGTACTTGTTTTGATAATACTCACTACGAAAGTAAATAATACTAAACCCTAAAGTAAGGGGTTTAATAATGTTCAGTTGTAAATACTAAACTCAATACCACACATTAATTAGTTGAACAATGCTCAGCACTCAATACTAAACTAAACTCAATCCTGAAGTAATTTCTTTTTATAATGGGCCAAGCATTCCGGGACTCCAGTCGTAAAACATTTTCTACATTAATTTTAACTGTTATGTATTGAATATCAGTTCTATATTTATTTAGCAAATCTTTCTGGGTGCTCCAGTTATCACTCTGGCTGAAGTACATCGGTCAAATTAATTTTGGGATTCGTCCAAAGGATATTGAACCCAGAAACTAAATAAAATAAAATAAAAGTAGAATAAATGAATGGGCTGGCTCTGAGAAAAATAATGAACAAATTAATTATGGCTTGCAGATTTTTGACCTGATGGCATAGCCGGAAAAAAACCCTCAGCGGACTGGGTTTTTTTTGGTTTTCTCGGTCATAATATAAAGATAAAACGATATAGAAAAAAAAGGGTGGGGGCATATTCATACAAGGCAGGCCGACAAAATGGAAGCAGTGACATTTTTCAGAATTTATTTTTAATTTTTTTAAAAAAAAGTTGATATGCCTCCCATCTCACTATTTAAAACCACGCTTTTTTGGAAGTAAAATCTAATCCGGTGATTATTCCAAGCCAGGAGAAAGATGAAAGGTGGAATAAACTGGAGAGAAGCTGCAATTTGGAAAAGAGGTTTTCATATTGTTTGGTAGCCAGAAAAAAACAGGGACACTTTTGGGGTAACTGACACATTGCGGTGGAAAGTAGATGGGCTTTTATACAATTTCGGGGAGGGTTGTGAGATGCCCGGTTCGTATAATATTTTAATGGCTGTTGCCAAATTCCTTGGTTTTACAGGCAAAAGGGGGGAGGAAATGCAAATCCTAGGCGTTTTGTTATCTGAGCTAATCTTGTCAGTTTCTGCTCCTGGCCTATGGCGGCTGCTTATTTGGGGTTTCTAGCTGCCCTTTGTTTCTCAACCTTGGCGATTTGTAGACTTCAACTCCCACAATTCCACTTCCCAGAATATTTCCCAAGCAAGGCTGACCGGGGAATTCTGGGAACTGAAGTCCACGGGGTCTTTAAGTGGCCAAGAGAAACCCTGAGATTAAACTGGATTAAATGAGATCGATCAACGTTCCAACGAGGCTTACCTGAAACCGTAGTAGAGAAGACAGCGAGGGATGTGGAGGGCTGAGTAGTGGGGATTTCTGACCCACTCCAGCAAACCACATCTCTCTTCTCGGTCCCCGGTTCCCGAATTCTATCCCCTGGGCACCTGCGGGAATTGGCAGTTAGCGTCGTGTTTTACACCTGAGGTTTTAAAATCAGTTTATTCCAGAAGGACTTACGTGCTCCATGGCCGGCATTCGCCTGTCGTTCTATTATTGAAAGTCTTCGGTGTACATTTCTGACAACCTTGGAAAACACAAGAGAAAGTTGGATAAGTTTCTGGCTGCCAAATAAATGAAGTTCTAACTGCAGCCTGTCTTTAATTCCTTTCTCTTGCATCTTTCTCCTGATTTGGTCTCCATTTCAGTCGGCTTCAGAGATTTATAAATCACACACAGAAACACACACACACACCCCAATGGCTTGTGGCAAGTGAAAAATCCCACAACTGCTGATGTGCAAGAGAATCTCTGTCCCCATCGTTAGATAAGTCGGTTTTCCGGGAGATTCACAGCACTAACGCTGCAAGAGGTTCTCGACTTACGACTGCGACTGAGCCGAAGAATTTCCATGGCCTCCCAAGACAGTTGTTAAATGAGTTGTTTCCTCTCTTTGCAGCCTTTCTTGACACCGTTGCTAAGCGAATCACTGCAGTGGTTCAGTTAGCAAATTCCCCCTTAACTTTGCTGGTCAGGAGGTCACAAAAGGAGATCGCATGACACACACACACCCAGACCCACGCTGGGGTATCGCAACTGTCATAAATATGAACTAGTAAGTGGCGCAGTGGCCTAGAGGTGGGAGCTCTGGTCTCACAATCAGCTGTGAGTTCGATCCTAGGGAGAGACAGATATTTCACTCTCTCTGGGCACCGTGAGAATATATCTGCTGAACTCCGCAATGGCAACAGGAAGGGCAGTAAACACTCAGTTCCATTCCGTTGCCCAGACCCCAACCCGCAAGGGATTATGGGGGTGTCATTAAAAGGAGATGATGATAAATATGAACCAGTGGCAAAGCATCCAAATTTTGACCATGCAACAGGTTACAAGTGTGAAAAACAGCCCGAAGTCCCGTTTCTCAGTGCCCTTGTAACTTGGAACCGTCGCTAAACGAGCTGTTGTAAGGGGAGAACCTCCTGTGAAGAGAGTCAGTGGCCACCTTACCTGTAATTGTGCGTTGCTGTCCGACGGGGCACTCACAGGCCTCGCAATTTTTCCCGCACGAGTAACCCTCGGCACATCTACAACGGGCATCGGAGGTTTCGGTACATTTCTGCTTATATACCAAAGTCCCTTAAAGGTTAAAATATTTTTTAAAAAACATGTTATATCTGTAGAGAAGGCGATTTTCACCCTTTGAGAGGGGATTTTATTTTTTTTTTAGCAAGTTTTAACTTGCTGGGTAACCAGGATCGGAGAAGATCTAGCCAGCATTCTTGGCTAGGTTTCCATAAATCCCTAAGAATATTTGGTTAAGGGAATAAATTCCCCACCCCGCAAATTGCCAATTTGGAGGTCTATTTGAAAACTTTGCTGCACAATTATTCCAGGCCCCTTTTCCAAGTTAAGCCATCCCACAGGAAAAAAAACAACACAGGTAGTCCTCAGGTTGCAACCACAATTTCGGTTGTAAAGTGAGACGTTTCTTAAGGGAGCTTCGCCCCTTTTCTTGCCAGCGTTGTTAAGCGAGTCGCAACGCTTGTGAAGCGAGTCCAGCTTCCTTCGCCGATCAGAAGGTGGGAACACACCTCCCCCCCTCCCCCCGTCGTAAATACGAGTCAGTTGCCAAGCGTCCAAATTTTGATCACACACGACCATGGGGAAAGCTGCAACTGTCCTAAATGTGATTTTTTTCAGTGATGGCGTAACTTTGAACGGTATCTTTGACTATTGTAAGTGGCGGTCGTAAAGCGAGGAGCGGGGCGAGAAAAGAAAGATAGGAAACTGATAGGAGGCTCCTGTCCTCAGCCAGGAGTTGAGGACTGGAGGCCAAAAATATAGATATAATAGTTGCAAGAATTGAGTATGTCCAGTTGAATGAAAAGAAGGACCAGGGCAGACATGATAGCAATTTTCCAATATCTCAGGGGTTGCCCCAAAGAAGAGGCAGTCAAGCTATTCTCCAATAGGAGGGTAGGACAAGAAGCAATGGGTGGAAACTAATCCAGGAGAGAACCGATTTGGAATTAAGGGGAAGCTTGACCTGGGGGTTGGACTAGAAGACCTCCAAGATCCCTTCCAACTCTGCTATTCCCTTATACTCTGCATTCTTCCTAACAGTTAGAACAATTCATCAGTGGAACGACTTGCCTCCAGAAGTTGTGACACTGGGGTATTGTTTAAGAAGAGATTGGACACCTGTCTGAATTGATCTGGGGGGGAGGGTCTCCTGCCTGAGCCAGGGGGGGTGAGACTAGAAGACCTCTAAGGTCCCTTCCAGTTCTATTCTGATGGATTGAAATGATGTAGGGTCTCCTGCTTGAGGAAGGGACTAGAAGACCTCCAAGGTCCCTTCCAGCTCCATTCTGATGGACAGATTGAAATGGTCTGGGAGGTGTCTCCTGCCTGAGCAGGGGGTTAGACTAGAAGACCTCTAAGGTCCCTTCCAGTTCTATTCTGATGGATTGAAATGATGTAGGGTCTCCTGCTTGAGAAAGGGACTAGAAGACCTCCAATGTCCCTCCAGCTCCATTCTGATGGACAGATTGAAATGGTGGTGGGGGGGGGGGTTTCCTGCCTGAGCAGTTGGTTAGACTAGAAGACCTCCAAGGTCCCTTCCAACCCTGCTATTCTCTGATTCTCCCTTAGAACAATTCATCAACAGAACGACTTGCCCCCATAACTTGAGTTGTGACCCTGGAGGCTTTTAAAGAAGAGATAGGGCTGGACTAGAAGACCTCTAAGGTCCCTTCCGACTTTCTTATCTCTGCCTCCACGAGGTGACCCTTCCCCCAAGCCAAGCCATTGGGACTCGATGGCTTGAAAGCCGAGCCAGCCCACCCACCCGCTTCCCTCGGGCTGAGACCCCCTCCCACAAACCCACCCAGAGGAAGGAAGGAAGGAAGGAAGGAAGGAAGGAAGGAAGGAAGGAAGGAAGGAAGGAAGGGAGTCTTACTGTCACAGACTCTGCATTGCTGGCAGGACTGGCCTTTTCCCGGTCTGAAGGCGCCTGGAAGGGGAAAGAGGGGACGAGTCAGGGGGGTCTCGAGTGAGAAAACGGGCCGGGGTCTCCGCCGCCGCCCTCGCCGCTTACCTTTCGGGCAGGGGACCTCACACACGGCTCCCGTGCAGAGCAGCAACAGCAGCGCGCAAAAGAGCCGCTCCATCCTGAGGGGAAGCGCGCTTAAAAGGTCGGTGCGCTCTCCGCGGAGCTTCCTCCTCGCTTCTGGATGCGGCCGGCGGGGCTAAGAGGACAAGGGGGGCCGGCGGGGCGGCGGGGCGGGGCGGGATCCCCCTTTCCCCACCCTAAAGGCTGGAATCCCCGCCAAAGGTGGGCAGGAGAATTTCCGCAGCTCTCTCGGGTTGAATGGTGGCGTTTGCGAGTCTTCTAAAAATCCCTCCCTCCCTCCGTCAGAACAGAGCTGGAAGGGTCCTCGGAGGTCTTCTAGTCCGACCCCCTGCTGAAGCAGGAGACCCTGGACCATTTCAATCAATCAATCAGTCAATCAATCAATGAGAATAGAGCTGGAAGGGACCTTGGAGGTCTTCTAGTCCGACCCCCTGCTGAAGCAGGAGACCCTGGACCATTTCAATCAGTCAATCACTCAATCAATGAGAATAGAGCTGGAAGGGACCTTAGAGGTCTTCTAGTCCGACCCCCTGCTGAAGCAGGAGGCCCTGAACCATTTCAATCGATCAATGAGAATAGAGCTGGAAGGGACCTTGGAGGTCTTCTAGTCCGACCCCCTGCTGAAGCAGGAGACCCTGGACCATTTCAATCAGTCAATCACTCAATCAATGAGAATAGAGCTGGAAGGGACCTTAGAGGTCTTCTAGTCCGACCCCCTGCTGAAGCAGGAGGCCCTGAACCATTTCAATCGATCAATGAGAATAGAGCTGGAAGGGACCTTGGAGGTCTTCTAGTCCAACCCTCTGCTGAAGCAGGAAACCCTGGACCATTTCAATCAATCAGTCAGTCAGTCAGTCAGTCAATCAATCAATCAATCAATCAATGAGAATAGAGCTGGAAGGTACCTTAGAGGTCTTCTAGTCTGACCCCCTGCTCAAACAGGAGGCCCTGGACCATTTCAATCAATCAATCAATCAATCAATCAGAATAGAGCTGGAAGGGACCTTAGAGGTCTTCTAGTCCGACCCCCTGCTGAAGCAGGAGGCCCTGAACCATTTCAATCGATCAATGAGAATAGAGCTGGAAGGGACCTTGGAGGTCTTCTAGTCCAACCCTCTGCTGAAGCAGGAAACCCTGGACCATTTCAATCAATCAATCAATCAATCAATCAATCA